TTGCATGTTCTGCTGTTTTCGCACAGATAAGTCAGATGCTGAGAGGAAGATTCAAACCCGCCGCAACATCATCAACAACCAAGGCTCCCACTCAGACGTTACCAATCACCGCCTTCAAACTCGCGGGCCTGAAGGTACCACCTGTTCTCCGCAAGGTGGCGCAACTGAAGGACACTCCCAGCGCACAAAACAGCCCACAGTCATCCACGGACAGTCAGTCTCGAGAGGGGACCCCAAAAATGTCGGAACAATCGCCTGCAGCCAGTAGCGCTTCTGAGGGCCCGACATAGTACACCATGCAATATCTATATGCAATATGGAAATTGGTGTAAAGCTCCCCTACATTGCTGAAACATAAAAAAACCTCTAGTAGGTTGCTCCAGGTTGACATAAAATCGCAGATGGTGTTATACACAACGTTACATGTCTTTCAAGTTTAGACTTGTGGATCATTTTCCTGCAAGTTCTGCTATGATTTCATTTAAGCACATTTGCAGTCAAGATTTTTATGCTTTAAGTAGACATCATAAAGTCTTAAACCTTAGCCACCGAGTTTCAGCATTTTGAAATTTAAAACACTATGGACCACTAATCAAACTTGTATGCTTCAAGTAGGAAAAAAAGGAGACTGCAAAAAACAACGTGCAAAACGATTTGTGTGAAGGAGGGGGAAGTAATTCTAGTTCAGCAAAAGAACTGAAGGTCAACTGTGTCAGAAGTTGTATACTCCATGTATAAGGTAAGCTATTGCCTACTTTGAGTAAGTGAGGCATTATACACCCTTTTGCTATGCACTAAATGAAGTCCTGGTGTAATTGTGGAATTTTTATTATGTTAATTTGTTGATTCAACAACTGTAAATAATATGAAGAGGTGTTCTCATTTAATTGATGATGATATGATACAAATTTATTTGTCATGATAAAAGTTGTCATTGTCATTCTTACTTAATATTCACTTAATATTTTCCTATTGAGGTAGAGAAAGCACACAATCATATTTTGGCCACAGTAAGCACAATTATAAATCTCATATGACCAAAGAGACATGATCAAATTGATTAGAATTCTGCATAGACAAGCATGCTGTATAATAAACTCATGCATGGAATCCAAGTTATCTTTTAAAACCCTACATACATCGCACTATCTCTAAAAAAAGTAGTTATTCAAAGTTATCAGTAGATGAATTTATTAACTACTGTTGGTAAATTCATTTTGGAAGTTCTCTCCTGGGTTCATTCCGAATCGTATCGTCCCGTCCCTCACTACTGCCCATGGCATCCTCCTGGTGTTGAAGCTGACGCCTGTCTGTCCCTCCCTGCTCACAACAATGACTCCTCCCGTACCGTCCACACGCTGCTTCATGTACGCAATACTCTTGTCCGCCGCCGCTTGTGCACTGGCACCTGTAGGGGATTCAGAGGTAAGATTAGTCTAAGTAAAATGTGGGGAAAAGAGTTTGTCATGTAAAAAAAAGCCTGTAATACACTAATTATATATTACACAAGATAAAGGACTTTATGGCATAAATTAAAGTGTTGAGTGAAGAATTTTATGAAAAAAACAAACCTCTAAATAAGTTTTCTTAAGTTCCATATTTTTGCTGCCTGTGGAAAGTGCTGCCATCTTAGTGGAGTACAAATTAGGACAGGGCTTTTCCAGTTACATGAGAAATGATGAGCCCTTCATGTTCTAAACCAGTCGTCTGTACCTTGCTCCATGTTGAAGGTGACTGTTCTGGCTAAGGTCACACTCATGATGGCCTCCCCGTGCCCTGTACAGGACACCGCTCCCGAATCATTGTCTGCATAGGCTCCACAACCTGAACATTAGGGATGTAATCATTGATTTTAGTGCACATCTACTAAAAGTTTAAATCTATTTGCAATGGATTTTAATCACATTAGCAAGTGAAGTAGGAAAAAGCCTAACTACATGTATGATTGCCTAAACCCTGACTGAAGACAATTATAAAATACAATATGCATGATGAGACTGTGGACCATCATAGACTGAAAATTTGTTGACCATAATGTTCATTGACTCAAGAACATTGTATGTCTTACCTATGACTGGGGAGTCCCCAACACGTCCGACCCTTTTTGCAGTGATCCCACCAGTAGAAGTGGCACAGGCAACATTTCCCTCCGAATCTACAGCAACAGCTCCAACTGTGTCATGACCACTGCAGGGGACCACAAACAGTTAGCTTTGAAATTATAATCAAAAGTCCTACACAAGATGAAATCAAAGATCTCATACCTCCGTCCGTAAAATGTTTAGAGTTTTTGTACATTTCTTGGTCATTATCTAGAATTTCCGTTTCCATACATCTTCCATAAGGTGTAAGGCAACAGACATGCATATAGCAGTATACTGAAGACAAGAAATGTGATAACCTTTTCTGGGACCATTGACTGTGACAAAGCCTTGAAACGAAACGTAAATGAAGTTACTGTAACAGTACTTACAGTTGTGAGTCAAAGAGTTCGTTGACAGCTCTCTTGTACTTGTGGTATTCCTCCCATTGTTTTCTAGCATCATCAGTCACTAGCTGGTCTGTGGGCACTTGTGGTATGCCCAGCTCTTTGGAAAACAAGTTGGCTCCTACCCCAGCAATCATGGTATGGTCTGTCTGTTCCAAAATCAGAATGGATATTGTTTTGTCTTTGGTCTTGGATTGTCTTGAACATGTAGCAATTGTAATAAGTACTTAAATAGCTACAGATCTATCTAATGCATTCTACTCCATGAGATACTAGTGGATTCTGAAAATTGTTTCATCAGGTTAGTAAAGCATCTAGGATATTGGGATTTTCTTTTACACAACCAGTATTGTCTCACCTTGCTTATGTTTGGGTATCTATCAGCCACCTTCCTCAGAGTTTCTGACTGGAGTTCTGCTTCTCGCCGCTATATGTAGCCGATGTGTCAAAGAAAATCCCTACATCCTATGCTTTACCAACCCAATGAAACAATACTGGTCGATTGAAAACAGCAAAGTAATAAGCAGTATAAAAGGTCTCCAACATGCTGTGATATACTAGTACAATAACTACTATATATAAAAGTCAAGATGCTGATATTTCCGAAAGTACATGTACTACTAGTACCTTCTCCATGACCTGTCTGGCCAGGCTGATGGGATGGGCGATGTTCTGCACACAGGCCACCGACCCTGCCCGCAGACTCCGCCCATCCATGATGATGGCGTCCATCTCCACATCTCCTGCACTGTTCAACACTGAGCCTGTTCCTGGAAAGTATTGTTTTGGGTGGCTGAGCTGTAGGCTTGTCTGTCTGTCCTAAATGCTTCAGTTGCATGGTGGGTGGGAGGTGACTTTGACAGTTGATTGATAGGAAGGTTGGGCTTGAAGGTGATCCAGCATGGGACAGGTGGGAGTAAGTGGGCAGAGGAATTATACCTCTTGGGATCAAATTACATGTACAATCCCTCCACAGTTCCAATACATTCACAAATACCTAAAAACACTCCCTGGAGGTCTAGGGACTTAAACTCAAAAACACCATTCTGCAGAATGGGACTTTTTTCTCATGATTTGAAGTCATGGTCTTACAGAAGATATCTAAAAACGTCACAACAGTCTGATGATTCATGTAAGCAAGGAGGGCCAGCTTGTTTTAAAGTCACACCTGTGGATGAACCTGCTGAAGTTCACACACAGTTCAACAGCGGCACCTACCGGCGTCGAAGACGACGTCATCTTCCAGGATACGCACAGCGGTCTCCACAGCGTCCAGTGCACTGCCGCCTGACGTCGTCAGCACCTGTCGTTATGGTGAGAAACATAGAAATCAAGGGACCCTGTTGAAGGGAGATTTGATAAACCCTCCTTTGTTGGAAAGATATGCTAAAATTAAGCATTTTTCATGGACTTCGCGTGAACAGTGCATTACATACACGCTTCTTGAGCCACAGCACAGGTGTTCTCGTCAACCGAGCCGGGGGTGCCCCAAACGAGACCTGTGTAAATTGGAAGAAGTCAACTATTTGTCAGACCAGGGCGACACCAAAGGCGCAACGGTATAAGTGGGTCCAAAGGTCAGGGAGAGTTCACACAGTACACAAATCACACACAAAGCTTGTCGTACCAGCTGTTGGCAAATTTATCATTTCCGGGGTGCATTTTTTCACAATGCTGGCATGCATGTAACGTTAACGTTACATGGAGAACGACATCAAGGAATAATCACCACACTAAATGAGTTGTTTTTTGCTGGTTACAATGTGTAAAGACGGAGATCGCTGTGATTTATTTTGATCACCCAGGCCATGTGGCATGATGTTCCTTGTTTGGGTAAAAGTCATATGAAATCGTCAACGTAGAAACAGGGATTTCTGTAAAATTTAGACCAACCTTGTACCCTGCCTCAGCCGCAGTCTTTACCCCAGCTTGGCTAGCCTCGGCGATGTCGTCTGGAATGCTCCAGGCTCCGCCGTGCACCACGATTGTCGGAGTCGTCGTCGCCGTCGCCGCCATGCTGGACGCTCTTTGTCGTCTGCTACCTGAGCTCTGTCTGCCTTTCCGCTCGATATCAGTAGGTGGCGCTTTCGATCGATCCAGAAGGCGCTGACCATGCTATCGCGAGAGAACACGAGAGCCATTCTCGTCAAAAGAAACGGGACAACATGGAGTGCTTACTCGGGATTCAGGGCAATGGTTTCGTTATTTTGGCCGCCGACAACATAGCTGCACGCAGTGTTCTGGTCTACAAGCACGGTAATACTTTAATGAATACTACTGATTGTTTTTGCAAACTCTGTATTCCGACATTGCGCTGTTTTTACGCGCCGGAACTGTGCAGGTTTCACCACCATGACTTCGCGCTTTGGAGAGTGGGAGGGGGGCGCACAGTGAACAACAACATGTGCACTGTTGTTTCCAACTCAAAATTAATATATTACAATATATAGTACACTTTACATGCTCCCGTTACCCAAATGAAAGCCAACTTAAGTACCAACTTATGCCAGCCCAAATCTAATTTATCTATTGTAAAAGCCACTTTTCCCTTTTCAGAGACCTAAAGATGAATTTGTCAAAATTATCCAGGAGCTTGAAGTTGAAGCTCCTTGGTCAAAATTATATATCAAATTGAAGCACTACATAATTTGCGTTTCTGTACAGCTAAAACTACTCAAGAAGACCACTGAGAGACCAGGAAAGTCTGGTCCATGTGGACAGGTGGTCACTATGAACAGGATTCTTAATGCTTTTGTCGTGGGAAAAATTATCTAAGGGACCACAAAGTTTGACTTTACCTTGAAATTCTTTACCATCAAATGTGCTTCTTCAGATTGAATTATGTCTTATTTTGAATATTCCCAAGCTCCTTGCTGTGCATTTTGTCCTAACTCAAAAACAACTCCATCCACAGACCATGACAAGATGCACAAGTTGAGTGATAAGATCCTGATGGGCTGTACAGGGGAGTCTGGAGACACGGTACAGTTTGCTGAGTACATCCAGAAGAACATCCAGCTGTACAAGATGAGGAATGGTAAGGGCTGAGGGGACGGTTACGGAGGAACTAATACCGTGTTTCATTTTGTGTCATGGGCCTTTAACATTGTTACCCACATCATTGTAACTCATAGTCACACTGCATATATTTGCAGTTCATATCGTGAAGCAATGTCTTGCATTTTAGTTTTAGTTGGCAAAAAAAATGGTACAGTGTGTCATCCTTTTTTACATCCAGGCAGTAAGGTAAGATTCAGTAAGGTGCATCATTTTCACTGTTAAAAGTACAATGACTTACTTAAAAGTATTCGTACCTTTCCTGCCACAGGTTACACCCTGTCACCCCACGCTGCTGCCAACTTCACCAGGAAAAACATGGCAGACTACCTCCGCAGCTCGGTAAGGACCTATGCAATATGCTTAGCCTGGTTACCATGCCTACAGGCCTGCTTAGGTGTGTTTTTTTACTGGCCCATGTCCTACTGAGCATAGGCATTTTTCTGGGAGCCTATCTTTCCAGCAACTGCAACCGTAACCCAAATTGAATTTGTGTGAGCAACCCTTGATTCTATATTTGAAAGATGTAAAGATATAATTTAAAATAGTTAAAACTTAAGACAAAAGAAGACAAAATCTGTGAACTCTGTTGTCATTCACCAGTCACTGCTTCTAGTTGAAAGGGGGTGTAAGAGAGAAGATGATTTCATAACTTTACACAAGATTGACTTCCAACCAAACCTGCTTGTCATGTTTTCCAGACCCCATACTTTGTGAATCTCCTGATTGCTGGCCATGATGACACAGCAGGCCCACAGCTGTATTTCCT